CACACACACACACACACACACACACACACACACACACACACACATATATACAGTATCCTCTGTTCAATTTACTCAAGGCTTAATGAAGCCAGTTGACATGACTTTGTTGAGTAAATTCAATACTTCATTTTTTAGAGTGCAGAAACATCTTTCATGATGAGATCAAACATATTTAATTTTGTAACGAGTGACTAGGTGTTACATTTTAAAATTAATAAGTAAAAGTATGATTTTTAGCTTTGAAATGTAACTAAATAAAAGTAAAAGTAGTCATTTAAAAAAATTGGTAAAATTACAAATCCTCAAAGAAACTACTTACGTACCGTAACAAAGTAAATGTACTTAGTTACTATAAACCTCTGATTATTTCTTTGTTGTAACAAGGCTTCTTGGCAATGAAACTTATAGCAGGCAGATTGGCAGCACCTGGGGGGCACCAGGAGCTCAAATGAAGTGTCAATAGCAACAGTAAAATAAGCCGACTGGCAAAGAAGATTTAGTAAAATTTTCATATAAACAATCCTCAGCTCTACTGCTCATCCTATAAATTCATGTTCCTTACAACTTTCACACCAGTAAAAAGGGAAATAACAGACCTCCAAGTGGCAAGTGATGTATTGCAAAGAAGCATTGTTACATCAAAGATATATTTTACAAATGCAAATTTCCTTAATTTGTGTGCTAAGTTTATAGTAAATATTTTGTGTTTCACATTATTTTGGACAAATTAAAAACTGAAATCAACATTTTTAAAAATGACACTCTTAAATGTATGAAATTTTTGTTCATATTATTTTTAGAGGATTTTTTTTATTTTAAACTGATTTCTAATTTCTGAAGAAGTTATGAATGCCCAAAAGTTCTGATGTCACATGGAATTTTTAAAATTATTTTTTTAAATTAAGAGGCAGCACCAATCTAAAATGTACATCACCTAACTTATTAACCTGAACATTTTTTTATCTATGTGTATGCATATAAAATTATGTCCCCATTTTAATGTACTGTATGACTTAGGGTGTGTCTTCATTAAAGTCAGCAACACATATTTAGTGTGTAGTCTTTAACTGTTTGACTCTGACAGGGTTAACCTCCTATTTAAACATTAAATGACAAAAATGCTAAATGTTTCACCCGATTCCAAGTGTGAGCAAGTGTGAAGCCAGCAGGGAGGGAACAAGGATGAGGAGAACATCAGATGAAAAGATTCTTCTTTTCATCACTTCTATCTTCCTAACGCTGAGGGAACTCTGCTGTTTTGGGTGCTGAAACACAAACTCTCTGTAAAAAAAGAAAAAAAAGAAATGCAGTCAGAGATAAAGTATGCACAAAGATCAAAGACTGAAAGAGGAAAACTAGAGATAATGACAACTGAGCGAGGTGGGGGGAGACCCTGACAATGAGTGCAGTCAGACATTGTGCATATCAAATAATGTTGTTTTAGAACAAGAGATAATGTCGAGTGTGGCAGTGCAGATAAAAATGAGGGGTATTCAACTTATTAAAAGACACAACTTATAAATAATTTAAACCAAACAATTATGCAAACAGTAAATGTCCAGTGTTTGAAAGTAAAAGAAGTGAACATTTTGCAAATGATTTTGTTATATGTAAATACATGGGCATAATATTTGCGCTGTTTTTATTTTATTTGTTAAAACTTTTAGAGCCATGAAAACTGTTTAATACCACAGTAAAAAAATTAGATCAAACTTACTTAGGTGGCATATTTTCAGGTCTGCTGGACCAATCCCACACCCACTCAGTGTCCCCTCGCCTCTCAGCTTCCTCCTGCGTTCACACAGTAACAAAGCACAAACAATTAAACATCATGAAAAGTTGGGTTATTGTAAAATGGCTCATTTTAGTAAATATCTCTCCACAAATGGATCAGTAAACTGCATTGTATACCATTTTTAAAGTATTGCTATTATGACAAATACCACTGCATTAAGAAGTGGTTAAAAATGCACACCTGTATGGTAATGCAGTCACTGTCCTGCTCACTGGTGGGTCTGAGGGAACCAACTGACTGTGGAGTCAACACCTGTGGAGGACTGTGGACATGGAATTGCGGAGAGCAGTTTTTACGTTGAACATTTATTGTACATACATCTAAAACAAATAAAAATGTCAATACACACATTAAAAAGGGTTTTCAGCATCATCACCTGTCTCTACTCCTCTCACACTCCAGCTGTGCCTCCAGAAGGATCCTCTCCAGCTCCCCCTGCAGGGTGGAGGAGATGCTGTCCTGTGGTCCTGTCAGACTCTCCCTGCGGCTCACGGCCGCGATCAGCTCCTCCAGCTCCACCCAGGAACCTGAAGAGGAAAAAAAAAACATGTGGATGTAATACAAATAATGGCACTAAAAACAATCTGTTATTAAAAAGTTGTCAAATTCACCTATATACAACTCATGTATATTTTGCAGTGTTTGGATGATTATTCATGTGAATTATCATGTTTATTAAGTGCTTGTGACATGTATCAAGCACAAAAAGTCAAAGGAAACATCTTGATATTTAAGAAACTTGACATGATACACATGAATTTACCCATTTTGTTACATAACTGGTCAATTTAAAAAAAATTGGCTCAGCCAAAGTAAAACAGGAAGTGACATCAAAGGGGAACTCTTTAAAAAAAGGAACTCTGGTCTTTATTTATTGAAACAACATTATTTGAGCTCTGACTCTTCTTCGTCTCTCTGATAGTGACTCAAAATAATCTAAAGAAACATCAGATTCTTCTCCACAGTCTGCGTTGTCAGCCATTGTAGCTCTGTTCACATGCAAACATTTTCCTTTGACAACACTTCCTGTTACTTCACATGCAAATCTTTCAACAACCATACATCTCTGCAGTGTATCTTTTTTTTTTTTTGCAATATTTTACAATTTTATCTTTCCAAAAATGGTTTCAAATTTATAACAAAAAAAAAGGAACAGGTACTTCAAATTAAAACATCTTAATCTGGGCATCCATCTAACTTTAAACACCTAAAGACAACATGCTAGCTAAAAAACATGACATACAGTTAAAAACCTGGACATTTTCACAGTAGATAGTCAGATTGAAGGCTAACTAACTTTTTCTTTTGCCTGTTTTTAAGTTTGAAAAAAAGCAGATTTGTTATATATGTATATATTTGTACAAACTCAGTGAGAGAGCTTCTGTTGTGATTAAAAAATATATATTTCATTCAGTGAACAGTTTGTGGGATTAAGTCAAAAGGCTGCTTCAAATTTGTAAAAAATTTAAAACATTGGATTAAAAACAGCTTTACAGATTTATGGAAGGTAAATGTTTCACTTCACGTTTAGAAGTTTTTTTTTAAATCTTTGTTTCCAGTATAGTTATTTACAATATGTGAATAATACAATAATATGAGATTCAATTAAAAATTCTTTAAGAAGGAGTCTTTCTAACCTTCGTTTTAAAGTAGTCTGAATGAATAGGTTTGTGGAATTGCTTTAATATTACAAAACAATTTATATGTTTAAAAAGATGATTAAGTTTAATTTGTTGGGAACATATGGTGCCATGTGGTGTTTGATGAGGATGGGACGTGAAAAATGACTAATATTTTTGTTTTCAGTTTAGAGATTATTCAGTTGTTTGTGCATATTTTTTTAAATAAGAGGCAGACTTGAGAAGATTTTTTCTTCTTTCTGCACCCTTTCTATTCAGTGTTTGTTTTTTATGATTTTTTTGTTTTGTTTCTTGTAATGAATGAAATAAATAATTATAAAAACAGATTCATTTGACATAAAGTTTTAAAGTAGCAGTGTGAAAGATGTGGTGACATCTATGGAATGACTTACATATTGTAACAATTTACATTTACCTTTCTAAAATGACATAAAAACGTATGTAATGTAGCTGAATCATTTTTAAAATGTGTTTTCCCCATATTGGATAAATCTTGAAGGAGAAATATTGTGTTTCTCAGACATTTATTTAAGTTCTATACCTTAATACAGTATCCATGTCACCTTTAGTTGTTATTAAAATGCTGGTTTTTATGTTTAAATAGAAAATAAACTCTTCTTCTTGTCATTTCTGCTTTTAGACACCTTGAAATTGGCCTCTGTAATTTTGAAAACCTCCTTCTGGTTCTGTCCAACCCATTTCAACACTTGGGGTGGGGGGTAGTTTCAGTTTCTCTTTCAGTTTCACCAGTTGTTTGCTTTGTTGCAGCCGAGAGCCTGCAGGAGTCATGGGCAGGGTGCAGGGTAGGTGTGTGTGCTCTGTGATGAGGAAGCTCAGCTTGGAGACACAGCCCAGAGGAGGAGCTGGTCCCAAAAGGCGGTTCTAGTCCCAAACGGTCATTCTTGCTCCACTGCCTGGCTGTCCCAGGACACCACAGGGTTTCTCAAACACGCATGAAAGAGTCAAAGTAAGACTCTGGGCATGTTTTTGATGAGAGGATAAAATTATAACAAGATATAAAACTCAAAAAAGTTGCTTTAACCAATTTTTGTGCCTTTTTGTAAGAATCGCAGGTGTTTCTTTTTCATCCTGACTTTTTCAAAGTGTGTCAAATGTACTAAAAGCTCTTGTTCCACAAAATTAACTCATTCTATTTTACTAATTCACAATTAACACTTTTGTGAAATGAAATGTTATGTTAATTTACTTCTGCCAGGGATGTCACAAAGAGGAACATGTGGATAAAGTGGCACTTTGCTTTCTTCGACAGCCCATCAGAGGGAAGTGCACACTGGAAGGGAACACGTGTGTTGTCGTGCACGAACATATGGTGACTCAGAGATGTCACAAATGACCTGAAGTGACCCCAGATGACTTGTGAGACCATGTACTGTGTATTTTGGCTTAGTGATGTTTGTGCACCAAACCTGTTCTAGAACACAAACAGAATCAAAAACAGAAGACGATAATGTCTATTTCTGTCTGTGAGGTTGAAAGCACCAACAGGGGACTGTATGAATGAGTCTTAGTGAGCAGGAGGGACTTAAACATGCACTCTGATGTGTGTGGTGTGCACAGGCCCAGAGCTAAACACCAGGGCACGGCTAACTCAGGCTGACAGCATGCCTGCTTACGTAAGATTTTATTTTGGTTTCAGATTAGCCATTCACGCTCTCCCATCCTCCCCTTTTCCCTGGTCTTGCTATACCACTTGTTTCCTTCTGTGACACGGGCAACATTAAAAAAAAATACATCCTCACCTAATCTGCCAACCATTGTCATTCTCATTTGATCTATGTAATCCTTACTGTGCAAAAGTTTAAGACACTGGGATCACAAGAACAGTGGTAGTGTTGGGGGTGAAAGCACAAGTGGGCTCTGTGATGCTGGAGGGGGGTGAGGGGTGGAAGGGCAGAGAGGAACTGTGCCATTGCCCTAGTTTTTTTTTTCCTTCAGAGGGGGGTTATGACATAACTGTGTGGCTGCCTGACTTATCTGTAGTCATTCTGCAGCACTAAATCAGTTTCTATGGAGCAATCCAGTAAGCGTTCATCTGCACCGCTGCCAAATCAGCTTTATGTAATGAGGACAGGATCTGGATGGGAAAAGACTCAATGAACTGCAGCAGCACAGAGTTTTCCCCGATTTTCTCCAGTTCTGGGTACCTGCTTAGAAATAATGAGGCTGTGAGACAAAGCTTGTTGAAATATTGGTTTGCAAAGAAAAGAAAAGGAAGAAGAAAAAACTGTTTGTGCAAAGAACAATAAGTAAAAACAATTGCACTGTAAGTTTGTAACACATTGTTTTTCCAAACTTGCAGGCGAAAAGGTTTTTGAAACTGTTAGAAACACATTTTACTCATCTCTCAATAAAAACACCAATGTGCAGTGCAACTGAGAATCTCTGGTCGAAAGTTTAAGAAGTAGAAGAGGAGAATAATCTATGAGAGGATCGCCATTATTTCTAATGTAAAATGTCCTGTTCAGTTTGTAACTTGGAAATCATCATAAAAAATATAATAAAATAAAAAAATTAAATTAAATTAAATAATTAAAATGAAAAATCATTCAATAGGATGTTTATCACTCTGTCTGAGAATTCCTTATTAATAGAGTTAATTTCTCAACATATACAGTAATACATTTTGAAAACACACCCTCCCCCATGTTGGTTCTTTTTAGCTGTCACTGTTTAGCTCCTCAGCCATATGTTTTACCCATCATCCTCTGTGCCGAACCATGTGCAGCAGGCACAGTGGAGCTATAAGTGTCAGGAAATCTCCACATCTTAACTGGCTTACAGAGATGCAAACAGGTGAGTCAGGGAATCCGTTTACACAATGACAGTGGCAACAACAACAACAACAACAACAACAATAACAATGACGACTGTGAAAGCAGCATGGCCTTTTCCTCTGCCTGAGTTTGACAGGACGTTAATGTTTCAGATAATAACAACACTTGAAAATCAAAGTACACTGACTGAATGTTATAATTCACATTGTTTATCCAGATTAAAAAAATGCTATCTTTAAATCATCTGAAGGAATCTATGCTTACACACACACAATGGGAAGACAACAACCTGGACCATGAGGACTCACCATAAAGTCCCTCCTCTGGTGTTTCAGAACCGGACAGAGACATCCCTGCACACTGAACACAAGTTGGAGATGGAGCTCGGAGAGATGTTGACACTGACCGGAGAGGACAAAGAGGTGAAAATGAGTGTCTGTCCTGTAGCGGTCTCCTTCAATCATTCCCGTGTTTGGACCTATGTGAACACTAATCCTCCCTCCTCTCCCTCCCTCTCCTCTCATCTCCTCCCTCCCCCCTCTTGTTTCCACATGTCAACAGGCTGGAGGTAAAAAAAAACAATCTGATAAGGTTAAAAATATATATTTTTTGGAAATCAAGGTGAATAATTGCAAAACTCCTTGCATTTGATCATTTCAAAATTTCATGAAAACGAATAGCATAAATTTGTCCACAACAGTTTGAAATAATATGCAAAAACCTCAAAACAAGCAAAGCCAAAATAATTTATATATATATATATATACTGTATATTTTTTCTGCAAATATTTCATTATTATATTTTTAATTTCATTATTTCTACTGTAAAACAAACACAAACAGACATGCTTCTGTAACATTTCTGTGGATGATGTGTGGAAATTCGTACTGTTGATGATAAAAATCCTTTTTCTGGAGAAGGACTGGAGGATGTGCCGTTATGAATTCCAATTCGTGCCAGGAAAATCCTTATAATGCAACATTCTGCAATCATCAGACAGCAAGAAGGCTGAAATAAGAAAGATGCTTTATTCTGCCTGCCTGCTTTGTGATTATCAGCTGAGAGTCAATGGAGAGGTGCCAGCTGCAGCTGAAATTAGAGACTTATCTGAAGTTGGAATGACACGACCTTTTCCACAATGAGTGGTTTCCAGAAGATGGAAAAACAAATAATATGTAATGGCTTGTCTATGAGGTATGAACTGTAGACTAACAAGATTAAAATGTTGATATTGAGATTAAAAAGAGTTAACCTCTGTGTCACCTTGTTGTGTATTAACACATGAAGTGTTGTATACTAAAGAAACTATTAGCAGTAGTGGCTTAGTTGGTGGAGCTGTTCCCTCTTAGCAAGGAGGTTGCCTGTTCGAATCCCAGCCAGGGACCTTTCAGGGTAGACTTTGTATGTTCTCTCTATGCATTAGTGGGTTTTCTCTGGGCACTGTGATTTCCTCCCACAAACCAAAAACATGAATGTTACGTTAATTGGTAACTCTAAATCATCCCTATGAGAGAGTGAGAGGTTGCGTGTCTCTGTGTGTCCCTGTGATGGACTTGTGTCCAGGGTGTACCTCGCCCCTCGCACAGTGATTGCTGGATATGAGCAACAGTGACCACCATGACCCTGAAAGGAAGAAGCAGGTATAGGATGATCAGATGTCCTAATTTGTGCAGGACTGTCTCACATTTTTCACTTTTGCCTCGGGATCCCGCATGTTGAAACAATGTTCTGTATTTGACTGGTCAAATTACAAAAAGTAAAATAAATAAATAATAAAATAAAATAAAATAAAATAAAACAAAAAAGGGGAAAAAGAAATATTGATAAATGTAATCCAGGACCTGCAATTTGCAACCATTATATATTGCCTCCTTATTTCTGTCTCTCTGTCTCCTTTGCAGAAGGAGGAGTAGAGAAGGAACACATAAGGCAGTGTCAGCTGTCAATCACGACACGCAACAGTGGCCATCTTCCACACCGTGGCTACTGTGCCTAAAGGCACAGTGTGTAGGCTTTGTTGTTTTCAGCAACATCTAGTGGTTGAGTGGTTGAATCTTCCTCCCTGATCCCCCCCCACCCCCACCCCCCGCTTCCAAATGCAAAGGAGTTGCTACGGTGTCTCTCAGGTGTCAAAAACCTTTGATAATTCCAACCGTGATGTCTACCAGCAGCTTCTACTACAATGACAGACAACAAATATTACATTTATAGTATTACAA